GGGAGCAGGCCTAAGCCAGCAGGTCGTTATCTCCCAAGGGGTCCCAGACTGCGAGAGGGCACAGGCCGGGCTGAGGGACCCCCCATCCCCCCCGAGTGCACATATTTTTGTGCACCAGGCCTCTAGTCCTAGATAATAAAAGGCTAATATGCAAATAGACTGAACATTGGAACAACTGTTGCTATGACGTGCGCTGACCACCAGGGGGTATGTGTGGAACATGGTGGGTGTCAGTTGCAGCAGGATGGTGAAGCAGGTGAGCGGAACTGCCAGACTAAGGCAGGGTGCCTGTCGCAGTCATTGGGTGAGCCTCTGGTGGTTATTGAAAATTCTTTGCTCCCATGTGCCGTGATCCCATCTGGTACTTGCACTTGCTGCTGGAACCGGCCCCGCTCGCACCCACTGCTGGTGCTGGAGCCACCACTTGCACCCACTGCTGGTGCCCGCACCGGTCCCGATTGCTTGGCGCCATCAGTGGGTGCAAGTGGTGGCTGCCGGCCCTGATTGCCCCTGAGGGCTTCTCCACCTCCCCCTGCTCCTGAAGGGTGATCAGGGCAGCAGCTGCTGCTCACACCTGCTGATGACGCTGGCCCCACTCACACCCGCTTCTGGCACTGGCCCCAATTGCTCCATGCCTTCAGCGGGTGCATGCAGGGCCGGCACCATCAGCGCATGGGAGTGGCAGTGGTGGGAATGAGACTGCTGGCAGACAGGGGGCCAGGGGCCGCAGCAGGAGGGGCCGGGCAGGGGCGTGGAGGATGGGCCAAGACCTGCCCCTGTGCCCATTGCAGCCTCACGGCCCACAGTTCCTTTTAAGGTGCACGAATTCGTGCACTGGGCCCCTAGTGTGTGTGTGTGTGTGTGTGTGTGTGTATTTAAATACTAGAGGCCCGATGCATGAAATTTATGCAAGAATGGGCCTTCCTTCCCCTGGCTGCTGGCACCGGCTTCCCTCTGGCACCCAGGACCTGGGCTTCCTCTGGCCGCCAGCACGCACCTGGGGCCTGGGCTTCCCTCACAGCCCCGGCTTCATCCAGAAGGTCAATCCAGAAGGATGTCTGGAAAGACATCCTGTCTAATTAGCATATTACTTTTATTATTATAGACTAGAGGCCCAGTGCATGAAATTCGTGCACGGGTAAGGTCCCTAGGCCTGGCCAGCGATCAGGGGCGACCTGCTGGCACCCGCCTTGGTCGGCCTGACACTGCGCGCTCTCCAGCCCTGCTCCCCACTGCTGCCGGTCACCTCCCTTGGCTCGTCTGGGGCCTATGGGCTGGGGGCAGCTCCTGCATTGAGCATCTGCCCCCTGGTGGTCAGTGCACATCATAGCAACCAGTTGTTCCACTGGTTGTTCTGCTGTTTGGTCAATTTGCATATTAGGCTTTTATTATTGAGGATATTTTATTGATTTCAGAGAGGAAGGGAGAGGGAGAGAGAGATAGAAACATCAGTGATGGGAGAGAATCATTGATCAGCTGCCTCCTGCACATCCACAATCTTGGCATGTGCCCTTGATCGGAATCGAACCCGGGTCCAGTGCTCTATCGGCTGAGCCAATCTGGCTAGGGCTCGTTATATTTTATAGTAGAGAAATTGAAATGCTTGTGACATTAGGTGAATTGTTTCAGTCTTCTTTGTTCTCTGCTTTATGTTCCCAAATGAACCAAATACACTTTTTGAAATATCTGCCCACTTGAAAAACTTTAGTAGGATTTCAGAGGCATAATTTGCTTTCCCAATATTATTTACTCCCTTCCTACTTCTCTTGTGTATGTGTCATTTCAGTTGTTAAGATATAGACCTTACTTTAAATCCTTTCTTCTTTAATATGTTTTACATTTCTCCTACAGTGGTTGGCTAAACAATGTTTTAAATTCTGATTTCCCTGATAACAGGAAGAAAAAAGAACTAAACCTTTTCAACATGCAGTAATTTAAGCTCCAGGGAATAGTGGCACTAAAGCCAGGTGTTTACATATTTTGCAATGCATTTCAAAGTTCCCTTTCATGTTTCCTATGTAGAAAGTGGGAGTTGGAGGGTAGAGAAATTTGGCATAAGACAAAAAACTTACTTTGGTTAATAATTTATGTCCAAGATTAAGGCATCTTGTCACTTTATTAAAGGCTGAAAAAGCAAACTATGCTTTGCTTCAGCAGTCACCCAAAATAGCAGTTTTTCTAAAATTATATTTAAAAAATATTCTTTACCAGTAGATGTATACACAATTTCTCCCAAATATCCCTTTCAGTTATTTATAGATGTCTCTGAATGAAGAAATTTTCCCCTATTTTTAATTTTCTACTTTGTTGTTATTGAATTTTTATCAAATTTTCTGTTGTGTGTTAGGTGTTTAGTTCTTCCAA